TAGATGGGAATGAGCCACCTTGGTAGATTTCACCTGTACCTCTTGGGTCTTCAGCAGGAAGAGTTGAGGGCTGGGGGTGTAGTGATGGCGGCAGCCGGGGATTTTGCGCCACCAGTTTGGTTCAGGTTGAGTCAGCTGACATGTGCCGAGAGCCTCTCTCTGCCAGACACTGTGCTGGGCTCACATAGTCCCTGCCCTCTGGTCACCGCCGCGAATGTGAGCTCAGTAGCACATTCCCAGTTGCTCAGATTTTACACTTGCGCTTTTGTTCCAGTTGCCATTATGGGGAAACACTTCGAGAGCTTTACCCAAGAATGTTGTAGAGGAGATTGGGAGGCCCATGTGGGTGTTTTGCGCAGATGGCATCTAAGCATCCTGTCTCCTCTCTAGGCTCTCTTCTGAACGGGTTAGCCGTGCGGGAAGATGACACTAGGCTAGGTCCCGGTTTTCATTGTGCAGTTTCCTCACAGCTTGACAAAAGGCATGATGCAGAATTTCATTAATGAAATGATGTGCTGAGGAGAGGGCTGAGTGTGTGGGGTACCTCGTTCTCCAGACCATGTTACAGCACCTCTTTCATAGGAGCAAACAGCAAAACGTTTCTGCTCTCAGCTAAACTTTTTTCTGTTTTGTCTCCCTCAGTAACCTCCTCTTACCACGTCAGGCCTCAGTACCATTTTTGGTTCCTTCCAGATCGGTATCTGGTGTTTCTGTACAGCTGCACACCCCTACTTCCCACTACCTGTCAGACAGCTCTATGCAGATGCCCAGAGGGCAGCCCAAACTCCTTGTTTGGGGCTGGACCCACTTGCCTCCTAGGACAGTTGGCGTCCGTCAGTGTCCAAGTCCTGTTGAGTCCTTCTTTGGACTCATGTTCAAGTTGGCTGCTGCCAGAATTCAGTTTGGGTTCTCTAGTGTTCAGGCCCTTCACCTTCCAACAGTGGTTCTCGTCTGTGCTGTGTCACCCCTCAAACCCGGGTCCTGGCCACTACCCCAGACACCCCACATTTCACTCCTATGTTCCCTGCTCCTGCCATCCCTTCTGTTTGAAGTGTTCTTTCTGTTTCTATTTGAAATACAAAGCCCTGTTCACATATTACAAATACCAGGAAGCTTTCCTTTGTTCCGTTTTGATTTTTTGTAAAGTCTTTTTGGTCAGAAGTAATCAGCTTGTCATTATTCCTCATAGCTCTCGGGTTCTGCCTCTATAATTGTCTTCTTGATACACTAATTATCCACTTGCAGCCTATCTTTCTCTTTCTCTAGATTCTTTGGTTTACAAAATTATATATTTTTAGGTAGAATCTTACACATGTCTTAAAAAAAACTTTTAGTGAGAATAATACAGCTATGTGATAAAACATTCGAGAAGTGTAAACTGAAGCCTGTTTCCCTTCCCTTTCCCCACTCCTTAGTCCTCATTCCCAAAGTCACCGACGCTAAGTTTCATGTGATTTCCTTCCAGAGCAGATACAGCAGTGTATATTTATTCTTTTAAGAAAAGTATACGAAGGGGCGCCTGGGTGACTCAGTTGGTTAAGTGGCTGACTCTTGATTTTGGTTCAGGTCATGACCTCATGGTTCCTGAGTTCGAGCCCCACATTGGGTTCTGTGCTGACAGTGCAGAACCTGCTTGGGATTCTCTGTCTCTCCTTCTCTCTGCCCCTCCTCCCCTTGTGCTCTCTTTCTCTCTCTTGAAAAGTAAATAAAAACTTAAAAAAAAAAGTACATGCAAAGAATTGCATGTATGCATACATACTGTTCCATAGCATGCTGGTTCGGGGTAAATAATAAAGCTCTTTTTATATCAAAGCATATAGGTTACCCTTTTTAATAGTTGTGTAGTGTTTCATTGTTGATTTTTTTTTTTTTTAACCAGTCTCCTCTTGATGGATTTTGAAGTTGTTTCCTTTCTCTTTCTTTTTTCTTTCTTGCTTTTTTTTTTTTTTTTTTTTTTTTTTTTTTTTTTTTTTTTTTTTTTTTTTGCTACAGCAAATAAAAATGCTTAGTGCCCATCCTTGTTAACATATATCCTAACATACTTTTGTATGACTTTTGTAGGCTCAATTCATAGCAGTTAATGGTGGACCAAATGGTGAATTCCTTTTACATTCTTCGGGATCTTACCAGGTTCTCTCTCAGGATTACACTTGCCAGTTCTTAAATGTGTGCAGGTCTGATGGGTTACAACTGGTTTCTCATTTTTCCTTGTTTAGTCATGAATAAAGCTAAACATTTTTTCATGTGTTCTTTGGTCATTTGTCTTTTCTTTTTCTCTGCAATGTTAATTCCTTTGCCCCTTCTTCCGTAGGATTTTCTGTGTCGTCCCAATCTGACTGACTGACAATATAAATTAGGGAATTTGGAAAGTAGCCCTTTGTCAAATGTGCATGTATTTTTCCTCAGTATGTCATTTACTTTTGGTTTTTGCAGAGGGTATTTTTTTGTCATATGTTGGCAGATGTATTCATCTTTGCCTTTGTGGCTTCTGGGATTTCTGTCATGCTTGGAAAGGCCTTTAAGTCGTTATAAATAAATGCGTCCATGCTTTTCTCAGTTAATTTTTTGGTGATAATCAAGCCTTATAAAAATATTGCCATAGAACATAAGAATTAATTCCATTAAATGGAAAATAATGGGACCCTTTTTCCATTCCCTGGTGCTTTATAGGATCGGTAAACATGCAACACCTTTGAAAACTCACGCTGCCTCCCTTAGCCATGTTTCCGTCCACGTGAGCCTCTAGTGTTGCCGTATCTGAGGACTGTCACTGCCTTTTCCCCCTTTTGCTCAAAGTCGGTGGGAGGAGCGGGGTGAGAGAAGAACAGAGTATTGATTATCCCCAGTATCGTTCACCCCTGTCAGGATCAGTCCTGTCTGCTAGACTGTGGCTTTGCTGTCTTTGCAAAGTGGCTTTTTTATTCTAAAGCTCCTTCAGGTAAAATGTGTTAGTTCTTAGTGACCTTTGGAACCAGGATTAGGGATAAGATTCCCTCATCTGTTGGATTTCAGAACAGTGCCTTGTCCTGACGCATGGGTGTGGCAAGACTAGACGGTTCTGTAGCTTTTTTGGGTGGGATCTTTAGGGATTTCCAGCAGTGTCACTAACTAAGCCTCGTTGTCTGTGGTCTTGCATCGGATCTTAGTTTTCTTTTCAGACCATGCGTGCATGTCTATCTGTAGGACCCCTCTCCTTTGCTTTTTCCCTCCAGTCTGTGGGAGGGGCTTCCCAGGCTGACTTTGTATGGTGCACAGTGTGGGTGTCCCCTGTGGCTTGTGCCCACAGTGCCTTGCTGTGTAAATGTCCTCCCTTCTCTGGTTGCGCAGTCTGCCTTCACTCCCTGGCATGGGTCCCTTTTCCCGAACCTGCTCCTTCTCTGCTCCTCATGGTTCTGGCCTGCCCCTGGCCTCGGTGGCCTCACTGCTGTCCTCGGTGCTTGGTCATCCCTGGATAGCCCCTCACACCGGCTGCTCTGGCTTTTTGAACACCAGTCCCAGTGCTGCTTAGAATGCTGTTGAACTTGGGCTGAACCTGTGTCTCGGCAGTATCTGCTCTGTGACTTTCACCTGTAAACACCAAAAGGACCAGTTACTTGAGCCTCAGACCAGTGGTTTCTAATTAATTCAGGCGTTAGCATGAAGATAAGTGTTTATTTAAAGGGTAAGGGGCTCTGACCAGGAAAAGCTATGAAGATGGAAAGCATAATATACTTTAGCCGCCGGGGTGCCTGGGACTCCCCCCCCGCCCCCCTTTCCCCCAAAGCCCTTAATCTCTAATCTCTATTGGAGATTCTGCTCTAGGAGGAGGGTGCTGTAGTAAATTGCTAGAGCTGAAATTGGTCACAGGGGACATGCATTTGTAACTTTGGTGGATATTAATAAAATTCCCCTACTTGGCCGCCTCCATTCCCTTCCTCACAGAAGGAGTAGCAGCCCTTGGCAGCAAGAGGGGGATGCTTACCACTAGTCCCTGTCCCTTTCCCTGGCCGGCCACCATGCCGGGGCAGGAATGTAACTTGACGTAAGCTTTCTTCTTCGCCTGCCTTTTCCTCAGCTCTTCCTGACTTCTGCTGGTCCTGCTGTTCCCCTCCAGCAAATGAAACATGGATTAGGAATTACTGTGTAGGAAGTCTAGATGGGCAGACTTTGGACCGTCCTGGGACAGTTAGCCTCTTGGAGTCTCAGTTTCCTCATCTCTAAAATAGAGGCGGGGCGCCTGGGTGCTCGGTGGACTGAGCGTCCGACTCTTGATTTCAGCTCAGGTCACGATCCCAGGGTGGTGAGATCAAGTCTGTGTCGGGCTCCGCTGGAGCCTGCTTGGGGTTCTCTCTCTCCCTGTCTCTCTGCTCCTCTGCTGTTTCTCTCAAAATAAATAAACTTAAAATGAAATAAAATAGGGGTAATAGTACTGTCCTCTGTGGGGAGGGCAAGAGGATTCTAGGAAATCATGCAGAGAAGTCCTTTGTGACATGCCTCGTCTTTATCAAGCATTCAGTGTTAGTTATCGATGATGATGATGGGCTCTCCCAAGAAAGGAAGAAGGCTAAGGGTGTGGGAGGTGGCCAGTGACCCCCTTTTACAGTTGCTGAGGTTAGCGTGGGGGTGGGTGTCAGGACCATCCACCTCAGTCCTTCCCAGACGCTGTTGAGACCAGTGGCGGTGGCGAAATGTCACCGGCTGACCATGGCAGAGGCTGTGTAGGAGGTGAAAGCTGCTTCCAGGGGTGTGAATGTATTGTCTCATTAAAGAAATTGGCCGAGCCTGAGGTGTGTGTGTCTACTGGTTGAGCAGAAGAGGACTGAACAGGTTGAGAAGCTGACAACTTGAACTTCCCAGCGGCCCGCTTCAACTAAGTCCTCATCATGTGTGGTTTTTAAAAGAGGTGTTTCACGTTCTTATCCATTACAAACAAGTGAACAAAACTATTGTTAAAATACTAAAGGTGGCGGCTGTGAGCAGCTGTGTGGTGGGAGGAGCTGTTACGGGAGCCGGAGCTGCCGATGAAGCTGATCGAGGTGACGACCTCCCAAAAGCACAGGGACCTGTGGCAGCGCCCATGGGGGAAAAGCCAGTGGGGAGCCTGGCTGGGATTGGTGAAGTCTTGGGCAAGAAGCTGGAGGAACAGGGCTTTGACAAGGTCTATGTGGTCCTTGGCCAGTTCCTGGTGCTAAAGAAAGATGAAGCTCTCTTCTGGAACGGCCGAAGGACACATGCGGGGCCAATGCCAAGAGAGGTGCAACGCCTTCTTATGAGGCTCTCCAGGGAGCCCCCAGCCCCTGGCCCCAGCGTGGAGTCTCCAGAGTTTGCAGCCGCGTGGGGACTCCTCCCCTGTCCTCTACAAAGGAAGAGATTGCTGTTGTACTCCACCTGCAATGTACTCCAAGGTGTTTTGGGGGTTCTCTTCCCTCACCATTTCAACTTTTTTGAAATTCTCGCTCTTGCATGCATCTCCCTTCTTCCCTGCCAGTTTCATGTCAAGCATCATGTCAGATGCTTCTCTGAGTGGATTCCCAGCCCTGACCCCACTCCCACCCCCACCTCTGGCCTGTTTTATGCTATTTGGCTCTTTTTTTGGCGAAATAGTCACTGTTGTAAAGGTTTTTAAATCAATAAAATCAGTGGCCTTCAAAAAAAAAAAAGGTATTGAAAATGTCCAGCCAGGGGTGCCTGTGTGGCTCAGTCGGTTAAGCATCCGACTTCGGCTCAGGTCGTGATCTCACGGCTCGTGAGTTCAAGCCTCACCTCGGGCTCTGTGCTGACAGCTCAGAACCTGGAGCCTGCTTTGGATTCTGTGTCTCACTCTCTCTCTGCCCCTCCCCCACTCACACTCTCTCTTCTCTCAAAAATAAAATAAAAACATTCAAAAATTAAAAAAAAATGTCCAGCTGATATATGCTTGTGTTTTTTTTAATTTAAAATAGCAATGCAAATGTCTAGTTTGGGGATGGCTTTTTGCTTAATATAATACGACAGATCTGTGATTAATCTTCTGAATTAAAGAATACTGATTCTGATGTATTTAGTGAGAGGAATAATCAAATTCATTATTGTCTTCTAAAGCAGCTGCAAACTTAGTCCATGAAAAACTAATATATAAATCACATCTCTGCATTATCAGAAATGAATTTCATTCCCACATCTCTCTGAGTTGGGAGGAATCCGTGTTAAGCCTGTTTCCAATTGCAAGACTGGGAGTCTTATTTGTCTTTGAATTCCCTTTGGTTTTGTGTGTGCGGAAGATCGAGAGTGAATGAATATTTCCTATAAATGTAGAAAAGTAATTTAAATTCCCAGTCAGTATGCGATTTAGTGATTGCAATTAAATGTAATACTTGTAGCACATAAGACAAAAGGCTAATTTCCTTAATTTACAAAGAGCTCTGACAATTCAGTAAAAAATACAAATACAGGCAACGGATATGAACAGGCAGTTGGAAGACAAACTTAGACAAATTGCCATTAAACGTGAAAATAGGTTATCAACCTTATTTATAATTAAATAAAGGCACTTCAGAAGCATGAGATGCCATCTTAAACTCATCAGTCTGGCAAAAGTGAAAAAGTTGAATGCTCATTATTGGTAGCTGGTGGGGGGCGGGGGGAACAGGCAGTTCGTGTGCCATTGGTGAGCGAAGCTGCTGCGGCCTTTGGGACATAATTTGGCGTGATCAGTTGAAATGAAACCATGATCCTAGCAAAGTCCTCTGCTTGGAGGAAATATCGTGGCTATGTCAATTTTTTCCTGTTTAGGATATCATTTGAGGCCTGGCTGAATGCATTGTGACACAGCCTTCCATGTCAGAAGTCAGAAAAGATAATGAAGTAGATGAGTTTGTGCTTCTATGGAAAGATTTTAAGGTATATTAAATACATTTTTTTTTTTTTTAA